CAGTGGTTGCTATTTCCTTGGAACAATCGTTAACCGGTAACTATCTGTAGAGCAAGGCATGCAGAAGGGCTCACCTGCCCCTCCTGACACCGCCCCCACTATTGCGGCGTTATCAGCTACAAATGGAAGGTTTCACCCCAAACCATATGTGTAGAAACATTTGCAATTCGCTCGAGTGATTTTTCTACCACCAGGGAGTGAGAGTCTTTTGAGACTATCTCTTTGTGTGACCCTCGAACTTTTGAATTGGCTTCCCACATTTCAAAATAAGGTATTCCCGTATCTGGTCTATGCCTTGGGGCTAAAACTGCCTTATAGTTAGCTGCGGTTTTGGAGCTTAACTCTCAGGGGTGGGGAATCGTGTTGCTGAACTCCCTTCGAGAGTTCAGAAACCTATCATCCAAGTAATCCGCAACCATTCTAATCGTTTAGTACCGCCAAGGTAACTACAGTAGCCCTCTTCTTTCCCACTGGTACAGTCATGGTAGGGTATGTGACGAGGCGTCCATTGACGCAACTAGTGCGGCCTTTCTCACCACTCGTAGCGAGCTTACTTTAGAGCGCGCCACTGGTGGAAAAAGCCACCCAAGCTGTGCTCTTCTCCGTGCCCTGTTGGACACTATGTTTGCCGGATCACGGCTGTGAATACTTTCCAAGGAACAGCGTGGCAGTCAGTGGGAGCCCGCTCACATACTCTAAACACTTACCGTTACTTTTATGGAGGCATGTCCGGAACAGTTCGGTGATGGGGGGGGGGATTTTGCCCATTACCCCACATACCACCGGTATGCGACCCATCTAGAGAGCTACTTCATGGGCTTGCAAGAGTTGGCAGGTTTTATCGCGGTGGCTCTACAAGCTGCAGCTTCACCAGCTCCATCAGAATGAGACTTGGAAACGGAACTAGTGCAGTTACGAAACAGCGAACAGCCCCTCCCCCTCGTCAAAGTACGCCCTACTCAGAAGCGTATCTTCTCTGAAAAATAATTAAGCGAATATTTTACCAATGGAATGGCATTCAAAAGCTTGCTCACTTCGAAAATATCAAGTATAGTATCGGATTGCAGCCGCAGTATAAAATCCAGTATATATTGATGGAAAACAACGTCCATCGTGTGTCCGGAAGCACAATGAAATAGAAATGCCAGAGGGTTATCAAACTTGTCAAAATAATAAATAATATTAGAAGCCTGCTTCAATAGATGGTTCTCATTTCGATGCGCCGTTGTCATTCCCGCTGTTTTCTGAATATCCCAGAAAGTTTTACAATACAAAAGTAAATGCATTATAAGTATTCCCAACAGTGTTACAGAAGGACATTAGAACTAAGTTGTTGAGAGTGTAATGCTTTGCAGCTGCGTATGATGTGAGACAAACTGTACAGATACCTTGGTGGATCCTGGTCCTTGCCACGTGTGAGGTGAGTGGATTCACAGTCGCACCAGCCACTCCTAGGTTTAAAAATGCCCGGGAACGGGGCTAGAGGGTAATAAAGCCGAGTGCAGTCTAAATACTCCGCACGCGCTGCCACGGCCAAGTACACGACTAACGCCTAGGCATCACCACCCTTCGACCCCGTTCCTGTGCAATTTTAAGCGGGGAAGGCTGTGCACTACTACACTTGCGGCCTTTTTCTCCTCGTACGTGGCAAGGACGGTAGGATGGTAAGTTTGCCTTTAAACGTATGCCTTCTTGGACAAAGGCCAAGCGAACCCCTTTTGCAAGAAGACAGTCACTGAGCTCTGAATTGATTAGGGTTCTCTCAACAGGCCAGAAAAATTACTAGCCTTCAGCATCCAAAACGTAGCGACAAACGCAATACCGCGCCTTCTGCAAAACTTCTCAATTGAAGCCCCTGTAAGGTCAGTATAAGCTCTTAAAGGCAGAACCCGCGATTATTCGCCATCCCAGATAGTGGATTAGGGGGTTCCATATAGACGACAAGGGGTTGAGTAACTCGACAGTGAAGAAAAAAAGCACAAAAAACATGCCACCTGCCCTAGATAGAACCCCATTTTGATCCCAGTTTGTACGTGCCCAATTAACTCTATCTCCCACACTACGCCCTCATACGCACAGCTGATTCACCGATAAGAACTCTACGATCGTACAAGTGACGATTTTCATGCTTTTTCGTCCTGCAATCTCGTTTTTCACTGAAAGCCGGGCATTGGAGGCGGAGTCTGGAGGCGGAGTCACTGGAAAAAAGGAGGAACCACTGAACCTATATTGCGCTATAGCGCCCCTCCCTTAGAATTTTTTGCCGCGAAACCGGTACAAGGTTGTTCGTCGCGGACCACTCTAACCTCCTGACGCCATATTTTCAACTTCGATACCTGATCGCGGACCGTGCCTTTAACGCTGCTTCGTTTGGTACCACACAGCGTGGATATGAATGAAGAACAGGGTCACCACAACGCCCTAAATGAATTTCTTCCCTGGTGCGACTTCGGGCACCAACCAGAGATAGTAGTTTTGCCGTTTCGTCAACTAGATAGGGAGGGGTGGTACGTTTAAGGCGATACTGTACGTGTCTGAAAGGCCCTACGTCTTTAAAGGAAAGTCGAGTACGTGGCGCATAGGTAGAATCCGAGGAAGGTAGACGGAGCACTGAGCGATCACTAATACTGTCACAGCACAACACATTCTTATCTAATTTCATGACAATACCTTGTAAAGTAATATAACAATCGTTATGTAAATAATGAACGTTAGCACTATACACGCAACAGAAACTACAAATTCAACCTCTGCCAGGAATGTACTCCCATAATCGTCAGCATATGACCATGAGAAACTGAAAAGGACTGCTTGTTGAAAAGTCTGATTCACTGAACACTGCATACAAAACCAGCATCCAACGTGAATGAAAGGAAAAAGTCGCATTAACGGTTGTTCCTCTACTTTTTGTGGGAAACGAAAGCGCAACCAAGAAGGCTGATCAATTAGTACTAGGTGATTACTGTTGGGTGTGTATGTTCCACAGTAATCGACATTTCATCTGGAAAGTTGGTGCCTAGGGGTGGGGGGGGGGTGGAAGTGGGAGGGGATGGAATGATGGCACACTTCATAACCCCGTGATAGGTAAATCGTGGCTGCATATTTAATTTGAGCATAGCATAAGATGTGTTTTAGTGGGCTCGTTTTCATGTAGAACAATTGCCATCATGTCTTGAGCTTTAGAGCTCACGGAGCAGGTACCTAGTAAAGCGTTAATAAAGTAGCTACAATACGCTTCCTTAGCCCTTTTTTATATGAAATGAAGCATCACAAATAGTTGAATGCAGGTGCGAACTAGTAATGGGCGTTTCCAACAACAAGAAGAAATAGCGGGAGAGGGAAAACCCTTAGGATCGCAGGGGCCCGCAAAGGGTCATAGATGAAGAATAGATACAGGACGGGTCTTATTTGCGAAGAAATCACGGTGCGTCACGGTGCGCTCTGTTCAAACCACTCTCACGTTTCCACAAAGACGCTGCATTCGGTACCGCTCGCTTTCATAATTAAAGCAGCTTGCCGGAGAAGCTGCACTATTTTTCTGTCTATAATGCGCTAGTGGAGCTGAATTATGTAAGAAACCAAACCCACCTGTCAGGAAGGTAAGTGACTTTTCCAACACACAACAAGCATATACAGAAAGCTATGCAGTAGGCGAAACAAAGTGTTATAATGATCTGAAATTCGACTACTTAAAGGCAAACCCCGCGATCATTCGCCATCACAGATAATGGATTAGGGGTTGCATATAGACGACAAGGTTCTGAGTAACTCGATAGTGAAAAAAAGCAGAAAAAAAAACGTTGCCAGCTAGATAAAACCCCATTCTGGTCCGCGTTGGTACGTACCAAATTAACTCCATATCCATCGCTACGCCCCCATCGGCACAGATGATTACGCGGTAGAACTCTCACACAAGTGACAAATTTCACGCTTTCTTGTCCTGCAGTTTTCACTGAAAGGCGAGCCCTGAAGGAGTCTGGAGGCGGAGTCACTGGAAAAAAGGAGGCGTCACTGAACCTATATTGCGCTATAGCGCCCCTCCCTTACAATTTTTTGCCGCGAAACCGGTACAAGGTTGTTCGTCGTGGACCACTCTACCCTCCCGACGCCATATTTCCAACTTCTATACCTGATCGCGGACCGTGCCTTTAACT